TCTCTCAGACTGATGGGCCTCAGTCAGACCTCAGTTCTGGCTTTTGTGATTGACACCACAGGCAGTTTGTCTAATTACATCGCAGAGGCCAAGAGAGTGTCCATTAGCATCATAGACAGCAGAAGAGGAACATCAGAGGAACCTTCAGAATACATTCTAGTCCAATTTAATGACCAGGGTAGTCACATTGTGCTATAAAAAATGAAAAATTTCTGTAATTATATAGTTTTTATAACATACTATATTAACATACTATAAATATGGATGAAATATATTGTTCCATAAAATTAAGAAAGTCCTTTATGTACTGGTGCTTTAAAATAAAATAAAACTAAAACATTCACCATATTTATATTGTTCCATATAGCTTGTTGAGATACATGGACCACAGTTTACGTTGAAAATGCACTGTGCATGTTCTTGCTCTGGTAGTGCCTTGTAGTGACGTGTTTGTGTTTTACACAGATTTCGGACTTCTGATAAGAACTGGGGATGCAGATAGATTCAAAGAGCAAATCAATTCCCTGTCGGCATCTGATAATGTAAACCCAGGGATGTGCCTGTCAGGACTGCTGGTGTGTGTGTTCAGTATCTTTTAGACAGTGATATAATCCTTCATTCAGCCTAAGAAAAGTTCACACTGAAACCAGTACACTCAAAAACAAATGGTTAAGTATTTATTTAGAAAGTATAGTTTTGAAAGAAATCATTGTGGTAAGCTTTGATATTCACAACACGGAGAGTCATTCTAATGCTAAAAGTTTTTGTCTTGTCTTTCATTGTTTCATGAATCTATAGTTGACATTGACAAGAGCTCCTCCATCATCAGATATTTTTGTTTTCACTGATGCTTCAGCAAAGGACACAGAATTAAAAAGTTCAGCTGAGGCCATGATAGAAAGCACCAAGTCAAAAGTGAGTTCCTGCAGAAAAGCTTGATTTGTTCTTCAGGTAGGATCTGTTGTGTTAGAGATACTTTGTCTTAAGATGTGTCTTTCTTCCCGCACTGCAGGTCACTTTCCTGCTGACAAACTCCACCTCAACACGTAGTCGACAGAATGTTTCATTATCAAGATCATTGTCTCAGTCAGAAATACAGTTGTACAGAGACCTGGCCCATGTTTCTGGTGGACAGACCATAGACGTCATAAACACTACATTATCTCAGGCCACTGCAGTCATTACAGATTTAATCACTGCTGACCTGGTAAGTTCTAACAATGAGATCACAATGTTATGTTATATATTATCAATATACTGTACATTAACAGTACTTCTATCATCACTATTACATAGACATGCATTTTAAAATGTAAATGTAATTTGCTTTATATCACCAGTCATATCCTAATTTAGTTTGTGCTGTGCTGTGCTGTGCTGTTCTTGGAGGTAACTCTGTAACTCTAATGTGGTATAACCTGTTTCTTGAAGGTGACTGTTCTTCAGGCAGCGAGAAATCCACCTAAGGCAGAAAACTTTTCTTTTTTGCTAGATCTAACTCTGTCCAATGTGACCGTGTATATCACAGGAGACTCTCCAGTCTTTACTCTCTACAGCCCTACTGGTAAACCAACACATTTATGAACAGAATGCTCAGCTACTGTACTGTACTGTATGTATTCAATCAGTTTCATAGTGTTTAAAATGATACTCAACCCAAAATGAAAATTCTCCCATTTACTCAACCTCATGCCGTCCCATATGTATATAAGTTTCCTTCTTCAGATAAATACAAACGAAAATTTCTAGAAAAATAATCCATCTCTGTGACTCCATATAATGCAAGCTTCAAAAACCACACAAAGCGAACACAGTGGTAAACCATATGACCACAATTAATGGGCCTGTCCAAATACCCACACTTGCAGTCTTTGCACTTGACCA